GATCTCATGCGAATCGACAAGATGGACGATAGTTGGGTGGGCCACAAAGCCAACGCCTCCAACTTTTTTGTGGTGGAACTTCCTCACCACGGATGATGGAAGTCCCATCCAATATAATCTGTAGCACCTAAAAATGCTATTGGCAAATGACAATTCTTTATTCACATAGCATTTGATTTCCAACAAAATTGGTTCAAACAAAAATTGAGCATGTTTTAAGCAATCTGAAAAACGTGATGCACGACCCGTTCATTGTCTTTGACAAATATGATCTATAGTTCGATTGTAGAGTATCGCTCACAAAGCGGACAACGAAATCGAGGCATCGGCAGTAGATATGGATTATCTGGTACAGCATACGTTATTCGATTTTTAAAAAAACGAAACGGTAGGAAAAACCGCAAATGGCACCTGAAAAGCGTTCTTTGATTAGATAGTGTATGAATTCAAAAAAAGTCTCACTTCGAACATGTCGCACTGTCCATTTCATCAGATGCTAGAACTTTGTCGCGTTGGCCCCTAGAAGGAACAGATGATTGAGACTTAGAAATTGTTTTTTCTCAATTTCTTGACATGGGACAGCAAGTGTATATAGCGAATGCCAGTGCATTTACTCGCCTGACCAGATAGCTGATAGTAAAATATAATTTCTAGAGTGAATATATGCTATCCTGAACTCTAAGCAAATCACGATTTATTCAAACGGATGAATATTTTGTAGAGCTTGTTTTACTCTCTCAAATGGTACGTATGTTCTTGAGAATTTAGGCAAAAATCTCAGAACATACCTGTACTTCCGATTATCTATTCTTTGTGCGGCATATTGCATTCTTTTCACAGTACTCGGCGCACCTTTGAACGGTGGAGCGGGTGAGAACGGATCGGGATGGTAGAAGAACTGCCTAAACTTTTCTACACATATGTAAACACCGAAAGCAACATATAAATTAGCCTTGGCACAGAAGGCATATGAGCAAGACTTCATTCCTAGGTAAAAGAGGATAAGAGGATTTTTATAAGTAGTCGTATATAAAATATTGTAGTACTTTCCAAACATTTCCAGTTATTAGGTTTGCTAATGGATAATTTTGAGCATGAAACTGCTTATTATTATTTTTGACCAACCTTATACTAGGTGGGTCTAAAGTTCGTTCGCCAGTTTTTCAAAAAATCATAACTTCATTTCGACTCGATAAAATTTTTGATTTTATGCTCATTTGAAAGATGAAACCTTTCTCTTTATAGCAGTACCTTCTCGTTAACTTGGCATGAGAAAGTTCGAGATTTAATTGAAAAATTACACAAGATTGGCATTTTTCAAGCAGAGGTCACAAAAAATTGTGAAAGAACTTTTGTATGATAGAGAAAAATGTGCTTATCATCACTGTACCTTTCCCATGAATTAGAACGAGTTGGATCGAGAGTTATATGCACTTGAAGAGAATTACTTCAGTTTCGCTATTAAGCATGCTCAAAAATCCTAAAACGTTACAGTAAAGACCGAAAAAGTCATAAACATAGGTTTTGTGACCTCTCTTTCTATCTGAGTGGAACTTGTGCTAATCCAGAGCAGATTTGATTTTCGTGAAAAACGCAGACCTGAAAATCCGAAAAAATCACGAAAATCAAATTTGCTCTTAATCGACACGAATTTCATTCAGATAGATAGAGCTGGTCACAAAATCATGTTTATGACCTTTTCGGTATTTGCCGTAACTTGCTATTTATGAGCATGCTCAAAGATAGCAAAACTGGAAAAATCTCGATCCAACTCGTTCTAATTCACGGGAAAGGTACAATAATGATAAGCACAATTTTCCCTATCATATAAAAGTACTTTTAAAATTTTTTGTGACCCTGCTAAAAAAATGTCAATCTTGAGTAATTTTTTTCAATTGCTTCTAACTCTCGAACTTCCTCATGCCAAATTACGGAGAAGGTATTGCTATAAAGAAAAAGGTTTCATCTTTCAAATGAGCATAAAATCAAAGAATTTTATCAAGGCGAAAGGAAGTTATGATTTTTTTAAAAACTTGCGACCGAATTTTTGGACACACCTGATATTTTACGACATGGAATTCCAACACCTTTGATCGCAAAAGCGCCCAAGTTTTAGATGAAATGATGTGAGCGAATGATGACATGGATCAATTCGTGAGTGTACGCGCATGAGAGAATTCGAAGAAGGTGTACAAAACTAAAAATTCGAAGGGCACCTCTCTAGCTTGTATCAGGAGCACTAGCATTGGACAGAGTCAACTTTACGCATCTGCAAAAAATGACTCAATTTTAATAAACAAGTCTATCTTTTGAAAGCAACGTCTTTTGCAGAACATTGCTTTTACACTTCGAATACTTGTTACTCAAGACTTTGGTAGTTTCGTCTTTGTTTTGCTATGCTTTGGATACTGAAAAAAGTGGCAGCTCCTTTCAAAACTATTTCTCTTTTTTCTTGCCTCTTCCCTTTTCTGTTGAATGACACACCAGCATCTTGCTTTCAAAATCTCATCTTTGACAACACTTCAACGATGAGTTGCAGACAAGGCGGTGGATTCTGAACCAATACTGCCACGCTGCAAAGCTCACTCACCCATCTTCACCACAGGTGGCAACTACGGTCTCCTTCTGGAACTTCCAAATTTTGTCTCTACGCACATAAACACTGAATGAGCAGATAAAGTATTGAAGCAATTAATCCAGATCAAACGTACTTGGGAAGTTTTACCGGCTTGTCGTCGCTGAATGATGTGGCCTGCAAATAATTGTTGATGAGACTTAACCCGATGCGGACACAGCTTAGGGATGTTTCATACTGCCGCACTGACTGCAGCTGAGTACAG